ATTGTGAGAAATAAATGTCTGCTGTTTAAATCAAAACCATCCAACTGTGGCTTGTTGCTACAACAACTTTAGTAAACTAAGACAGAGGCTAAGAAGTCAGGTGTTTCTGTAACATAGTCAAAAACCTGTGAAAATGGTTTTGGATGTAGGAGGCTGGAGGAATTTTGAAGTTAATGTTATTCTGGCTCTCCAAATTGTCATGAATTGAATGTTGGTAAACTTAAAGAACTGCAGGCAACTAACTAACACTGAAAATAGGAGTAATACTCTTCCCCAGGGAAGACATACAAATTGGTTATTCAATCCCAAATGATCAACTCTGAAAAATATACATATAAGCAACATCATATGAACTGAACAAGATATATTTAGGAATAAATATGTATATACATATATGTTTGTAATAACAATTAATGAAAACAAGAGGCATGAACTTGAAGCAGAGTAAGTGGGGTTTCTGGAAGGGTATGAAGTTAGGAAAGGAAGAAGATAAATGATGCAATTATAGTATATCAAAATTAAAATAAATCAAAAAAATAAAAAGTTGAGGGTGTTGAATGTTTTTTTCTGTTGAACAGTCTCAGATGGGAAATGAGGAGACAGTTACTGGAAATTGGAAGATATATGATCATTGTTCTAAAGTAGCCAAGAGTTTGGCTAAGCAGTATTGTAGTTTTGTGGAAGACAGAATCTGTGAACAATAAAAGTGGTTATTTAGCTTATATTTCTTTTAAAAGTATCTCTTCTATTTTGAAATCATACCATAATATTACAGTTATCCATTCCTCCAAACCCTCCCATGTACTCTTCCTTTTTCTCTTTCAGATCCATAGCCTTTCCCCCATTAACTGTTGAGATATATATATCTATGTCTATGTCTACATCTATATTCTTAAAGACATAAATAAAATCTGCCCATTTTGTGTAGTGTGCAGGAGAAATTGTATTCTTCAGGGAAGAGCATAATAGTTGGTTTTCGAATACTAACTGATCAACCCTGAAAACATATACATACAAGTAACATTATATTCCTTTAAAAAATTTCCTCTGGGAGAAGGACACTGGTGGGGAAGATGAGGGTAGGATTGGGTAGGGAGAAGGGAGGGAGGTACAGGGGGGATACAAAGTGAATAAACTGTACTTAATAAAAATAAAACATAAAAAATGTCTTTTCCTGCTGATGACCTGACCCATTCTATGCAAGCAATCTCTCTTAAAGCTGTATCTCCACCTCTAGCCCAGCTGTGGAGATTTTTAAACAAAAGTTTGAATGAATGGATTGTTTGTACCAGATTGCTTATCTATAGTAACACACAAAAGAAAAAATGAATTTAATGTGAAATAATTTAAACAAGCAGAAAATATGCAGTCATCAGGGGCCAGGAATAGAATGGTATTGTCTAAATTGTGTGCACCCAAATAAGTTTAAAACTTATCCCCAATATGACCATATTTGAATATAAGATCTCTAGAGGGTAAGAAAGTTTAACTGATGTCATAAAAGAGGAGTCTGCATTCAGGTGTGGTTGTGCGTGCCCACAATCCTGAAGCTCAGGAGGTTGAGGCAGGAAGATCATGGGTTCCAAACTAACCCAGGGTTACATACAACATGTCTCGAGTAAATAAATAAGTAAATAAATAAATACATGTTGAGCCAGATCTGGTATGGTTGATGGCTTAACAACAACAGCAAGAGGAAACATTTTCTGGTGTTCATGAGTTAAAACCCAAGAATGAAACTTCTCTTGTTTGTACCTTGTCCTTGGAGTTAACATCCAAAAATGTGAGAAATAGCCTCTTTCATTTAAGATATTCAGTCTATGGTATCGTTTGTAGTGGCTGAAGAGAACAATATCACATTTAAAAGCCTTGGCATAACAAAACTATAGTCCAAGTGGATCAAAGACCTCAACATAAAACCAGATACTCTAAATCTGTTAGAAGAAAAAATGGGGAACAGCCTAGAACTCATTGGCACAGGAGACAACTTCCTGAACAGAACACCAACAGCACAGGTTCTAAGAGCAACAATCAATAAATGGGACCTCATGAAACTGAAAAGCTTCTGTAAAGCAAAGGACACCATCATCAAAACAAAACGACTGCCTAAAGATTGGGAAAGAATCTTCACTAACCCTTTATCTGACAGAGGACTAATATCCAGTATATACAAAGAACTAAAGAAGCTGAAAAGCAGCAAACCAAGTAATCCAATTAAAAAATGGGGAACAGACCTAAACAGAGAATTCTCTGTAGAGGAATATAGAATGGCAGAGAAACACTTAAAGAAATGCTCAACCTCATTAGCCATCAGGGAAATGCAAATCAAAACGACCCTGAGATTTCACCTCACACCCATCAGAATGGCCAAGATGAAAAACTCAAGGAACAACACATGCTGGAGAGGTTGTGGAGAAAGGGAAACCCTCCTCCACTGCTGGTGGGAATGTAAACTGGTACAACCACTTTGGAAATCTATCTGGCGCTTTCTCAGACAATTAGGACTAGTGCTTCCTCAAGACCCAGCTATATACCACTGCTAGGTATATACCCAAACTTTGCTCAAGTACACAAAAGGGATACTTGCTCAACCATGTTTATAGCAGCTTTATTTGTAATAGCCAGAACCTGGAAACAACCCAGATGTCCATCAACGGAGGAATGGATAGAGAAATTGTGGTATTTTTACACAATAGAATACTACTCAGCAATCAAAAAGGAGGAAATCATGAAATTTGTAGGCAAATGATGGGATCTAGAGAAGATCATTCTGAATGAAATATCCCAGAAGAAGAAAGACAAAGACGGTATATACTCACTTATATAGACCTATAAGATATGATAAACATAATGAAAGCTATACACCTAAAAAAGATAATCAAGAGAGCAGACATGGGGTAAGATGATCAATCCTCATTTAGAAAGAAAGATGGGATGTGCATTGAACGTATGACAGGAGTCTACTGAGGGCATCTGAAAGACTCAGTGTTTTCAAAGCAGATACAAAGACTCATGACCAAACCTTTGGCAGAGTACAGGGAATCATATGAAAGAAGGGGAGTTAGTATGATGGGGAAAGGATAGGAGTTCCACAAGGACCAAACATATCTGGGCACAGAGTCTTTTCTGAGACTGACATTCAACCAAGGACCATGTATGGATATAACCTAGAACCTCTGCTCGGATGTAGCCTATGGTAGCTCAGTAGCCAATTGGTTTCCCATAGTGAGGGGAACAAGGACTATTCCTAACAGGAACTCAATGGCTGGCTCTTTGACCTCCCCACCCCCCAAGGGAGGAGCAGTCCTGTTAGGCCACAGAGGAGGGCTTTGCAGCCATCCTTGAAGATACCTGATTAAACAGGATTGGATGAATGGGGAGGAGGTCCCCCCTATCAGTGGACTTGGAAAGGGGCACGGTGGAGATGAAGGAGGGAGGGTAAGATTGGGAGGCAATGAGGGAGAGGGATGCAGTTGGGATACAGAGTTAATAAAATGTAACTGATAAGAAAAAATAAAATTAAAAAAATACTTCTTATGAAAAAAAAATAATGTTAACAATTTCAAAAAAAAAAAAAAGCCTTGGCATAGAGTGGAATTCATCTAAACAGTCTCACAACACCTACGAATCAATCAAGTAATGGGGTAAATATTTACCACATTTTGAAACGGCAAACTGCTTTGAAGTATTAGCTAATTTTTTCTCTCATTAATTTTATAATTTTAATTTAGTGTGACTTTCCATAGTTATGGCATACATTGGGATATTTCAGCACATGTATACAATCTTTAATGATCAGATTAGGGTAACTGACATTTTAATCATCTCATATCTTTATCATTTCTCTGTGTTGGTAATGCTCTGAATCCTCTTCCCTAGCAATTTTGAAATACACAATTAGTTGTTGTCAGCCATAGTTAGCCCATTGCCATGTAGAACATTACAATTGATTCCTCCTGTCCATCATCATCCCATTTCAATTAACCATCTGAATCCTCCACACTTTTCAGAATCTGCTAACCACTATTCTTTTGGTTTTACAATTAGGTTACTCATCGTATATTATATGCGAGTGTTTTGCAAGCATGTATGTATGTGTACCATGCACTTGCTTGGTGTTCACAGTGGTCAAAAAAGGGTTATGAGATTCCTTGGAATGGGAGTCACAGATGGTTGTGAACTTCTGTGGATGCTGGGAATTGGGCCTGGGTCGTCTGCTAGAGTAACAAGTGCTTTTTAGCTTTTTAGTTATTTCTCTAGCTCCATAGTAACCCCCATTCTATACTGTATTTCTTTTAGGTCAACATTTAAAAATTCTCATGTAAGGGAAAATAGATACTTTCTGTTTTTCTGTGTTTGAACTATTTAGCATTCTGTCCTCCAGTTCTATTTATGTTGTTGCAAATAGCAGAATTTAATTATTTCAAAGGCTAGGTAACATTCCATAGAGCAGTACTACTTTTAAAAATTCAATTACTATTACTAGTATATTGCAATATTATAGAGTTGTATAGTATAATGTATTACTATTTATTACAATAGTAGCATCATGAGACTACTTATATTTCCTAGCACGATATACTTACATTACTTTAATAATTAATATCATCAGTGTTACTGTTAATTTAATTGGGCCTTATTTCAGTCAACTATTTTTAGCTTAAGACTCTATGTACACTTAAAAACAGCAAGACTCTAGTTTGTTAAAGGTGTTAAATAATTTATGGTATTTTTTGTCAGTGATAGCAGGTCTATCGTAACTTTTCATCCAGTCTCCCTAGTAGACAAATCCTTAAGTATCTTAACATACACAGTTAAGAAAACAATCACTGGAAACTGATTTGGCTGAAATAAAATAAAAGCAAACTAAATCCAATAGCTTTGCTGTTTGTACATGTACATCCAGTATTTGTAACTTCTATAGGTAAAAGTAAGTTCAAGTTTAGAACATTTATTATTCTTTTGGAAACTATTAGTAATGGAAATATACTCTTTCACAGGTATCAAGGTTACATCTATACATATCGAGTGTCCCAGACAGACACAGGTTCTTGGAGTGCTGAGGTACAGCTCTTTTATTTACTTTTACTTCTCTGAATATCAGAAAAGTGCTTGAAATTTAGGTTGGTGAAATCTTCTCAACAATATGATTATATGTCATCCAGTGACAAGTTACCAGGCACAGAGTTTGAACAAAGAGGCATTTCCAATCACTTGGGCAATTTATGCTGCTCTGTGTGCAGCATAAATTATAGCTCTCTAAAGAGCTATATTAGAGGCCTCTAGATAGCTGGAATAGAGAAGAGGGGAAATTGTAGGTTTATTTAATTAAATAATTTTCCGAGAATTTCATACATATATGCACAATGAATTCCTACCTACTATTGTAGTGTTTTAAAGGGATATTTTATAGAATAATAGTCCTCTTCAAACTTGGGACTCCCTAGGAAGGGAGTTGCAGAAGGAGAGGAGGAGGTAAGTGCATGCATTTCTGGGTACCTATCTTGGCTTCAATAGGCAAGATCCCTTTAGTTTTCCTTATGAACTAAGACTTGGAATAAGATTTATTCAGAATGAAGGTTTCTTCTGGCTTCTGTGTCAGTCCAAGAAATGAGTCAAATCTTTCTACAGATCAAGCTGCTATAGAACAGCCCATTTCCTGTTTTCACCCTCTTCTGATGTCTGTCCACTTGCCTTTCTGAGTGACCCAGGGTCCTCCTTCTTGCTTAGCTTCTTCAGGTGTACAAATTTTTAGTATGTTTATCCTATATTATATGTCTAATAGCCACTTATAAGTGAGTATATACCATGTGTGTCTTTCTGCTTCTGGGATACCTCACTAAGGATGATCTTTTCTAGTTCCCACCACTGTGTTGAAAATTTTATGATTTCGTTGATTTTAATTGCTGAGTAGTATTCCATTGTGTAAATGTACCACAATTTCTGTATCTATTCTTTAGTTGAGGGACATTTGGGTTGCTTCCATGTTCTGGCTATTACAAATAAAGCTGCTACGAACATGGTTGAGCAAATGTCCTTGTTGTGTACTTAAGCATATTTGCCCAGGAGTGGTATGTCTGGATCTTTAGGTAGCAGTATTCCTAATTGTCTGAGAAAGTGCCAGATTGATTTCCAAAGTGGTTGTACAAGTTTACATTCCCACCAGCAATGGAGGAGGTTTCCCCTTTCTCCACATCCTCTCCAGCATGTGTTGTCACTTGAGTTTTTGATCCTATCCATTCTGATGGGTGTAAGGTGAAATCTCAGGGGCATTTTGATTTGCATTTCCCTGATAGCTATGGATGTTGAGCGTTTAAGTGTTTCTCTACCATTCGATATTCTTATACTGAGAATTCTCTGTTTAACTCTGTACCTCAGTTTTTAATTGGATTATTTGACTTGTTGCTTTTTAAATTCTTGAGTTCTTTATGTATTCTGGATATTAGCCCTCTGTCAGACATAGGGTTGATGAAGACCCTTTCCCAGTCTGTAGGCTGTTGTTTTGTTTTGATGACAGTGTCCTTTGCTTTACAAAAGCTTTTCAGTTTCATGAGGTCCCATTTATTGATTGTTGATCTTAGAGCCTATGCTGTTGGTGTTTTGTTCAGGAAATTGTCTCATGTGCCAATGAGTTCAAGATTATTTCCCCCTTTTTCTTCTAACAGATTTAGTGTGTCTGGTTTTATGTTGAGGTCTTTTATCCACTTGGACTTTAGTTTTGTGCAGGGTGATAAAAATGGGTCTATTTGCATTTTTCTACATGTCGACAACCAGTTAGACTAGCACCATATGTTGAAGACACTCTCTTCTTTTTATTGTATGGTTTTTGCTTCTTTGTCAAAAATCAAGTATATGTAGGTGTGTGGGTTTATTTCTGGGTCTTCTATTCAATTCCACCATTCTGTTACTATGCAAGTACCATGCAGTTATTATTAGTATTGCTCTGTAGTACAGTTTGAGATCAGGCATGAAGATACCTCCAGATGATCTGATGTTGAACAGAATTCTTTTGGCAATTCTGTGTTTTTTGTTTTTTCATATGAAGTTGAGAATTTTTCTTTCTAGGTCTGTAAAGAATTGTGTTGATATTTTGATGGAAATTGAACTGAATCTGTAGATTGCTTTTGGTAGGATGGCCAATTTCACTTTGTTAAAATCCTACTGATCCATGAGCACTGGAGATCTTTCCATCTTCTAATATCTTCTTCAATTTCATTCTTCAGAGACTTGAAGTTTGTTTTTTTTTTTTTTCAAACAGGTCTTTTACTTGCTTAGTTAGACTCACATCAAGGCACTTCATGATATTTGTGGCTATTGTGAAGGGTGAAGTTTCCCTAATTTCTTTCTTAACCCTTTTGTCTTTTGTATACAGAAGGGCTACTGATTTTTTTGAGTTAATTTTGTATCCAGCCACTTTGCTGAAGGTGTTTATCAGCTAAGAGTTCTCTGGTTGAATTTTTGGAGTCACTCATGTATACTATTATGTCATCTGCAAATAATGATACTTTAACTTCTTCCTTTCTGATTTGTATCCCCTTGGTCTGCCTTAGTTGTGTTATTGCTCTAGCTAGGACTTCAAGTACTATGTTGAAGAGATATGGAGAGAATGGACAGCCTTGCCTTGTCCCTGGTTTCAGTGGGTGTGATTTAAGTTTCTTCCTGTTTATTTCCATGTTGGCTAAGGCTTGCTGTATATTGTCTTTACTATGTTTAGGTATGTGCCTTGTATTCCTGATCTCTACAAGACTTTAAACATGAGTGGGTGTTGGTTTTTGTCAAATGATTTTTCGCCTTCTAGGGAGATATTCATGTGGCTTTTCTCCTTCAATTTGTTTACATTGTGGATGACACTGATGGATTACTATATATCGAATCACCCTTGCACTCCTGGGATGAAGCCCACTTGGTCATGGTGGATGATAGATTTTATATGTTCTTGGATTCAGTTTGCAAGTATTTTATTGAATATTCTTGCATTAACGTTCATAAGAGAGATAGGTCTGAAGTTTTTTTTTTTTTTTGGGTCTGTGTGGTTTAGGTATCAAGGTGACTGTGGCTTCATAGAATGAGTTTGGTAATGTTCCTTCTGTTTCTATTTTGTGGAATAGTTTGAAAAGAATTAGAGTTAGCTCTTCTTTGAAGGTATAATAGAATTTTGCACTAAAACCATGTGGTCCTGGCTTTTTTTTTTTTTTTTTTTGGCAGGGAGACTTTTGATGACTGCTTCTATTTCCTTTGGGGATATAGGAATATTCAGTCTATTTACCTTATCTTGATTTAATTTTGTTAAATGGAATCTATCTAAAAATTCTACATTTCATTTAGATTTTCAAATTTTGTGGCATAGCTTTTTGTAGTAAAATCTAATGATTTTATTTCCTCAGTGTCTGTTTTGTCCCCCTTTTCATTTCTGATTTTGCTGATTTGGATAGTGTCTCTCTGCCTTTCCATTAGTTTGGCTAAGGGTTTGTCTATTTTATTGATTTTTTAAATAACCAGCTCTTGGTCTCATTGATTCTTTAAATTGGTTTCTTTGTTTCTAATTCATTGATTTCAGCTCTGAGTTTGATTATTTCCAGTCATCTACTCTTCTTGGGTGTGTTTGCTTCTTTTTTTCTAGGGATCTTATGTGTGCTGATAATTTGCTTGTGTGAGATATCTTAAACTTTTTTCTGGAAGCACTTAGTGCAATGAACTTTCCTCTTAGCACTGCTTTCAGTGTGTCCCATAAGTTTGGGTAAGTTGTGCCTCCACTTTCATTGAATTTTAGGAAGTCTCTAATTTCTTTTTTCATTTCTTCCTTGACTAAGCTGTCATTGAGTAGAGAGTTGCTTAGTTTCCATGTATATGCAAGCTTTTTGCTATTTGTGTTGTTGTTGAGGTCTAGTTTTATGCAATGATGATCTGATAGGATATGAGAATATATTTCAATCTTTCTGTATCTGTCCAGGCTTGCTCTGTGCCTGAATATATGGTCAGTTTTTGAGAGGGATCCATGAGGTGCTGAAAAGAAGGTATATTCTTTGAGTTTGGGTGAAAAGTTCTGTAGACATCTATTAGGTCCATTTGATTTCGGACCACTGTAAGTGTCATTTTTTCCTTATTTGGCTTCTGTGTAGGTGCTTTGTCCCTTGGTGAGAATGGAGTGTTGAAGTCTCCCACTATTAATGTGTTGGGATCAATTTGTGAATTAAGTTTTAACAATGTTTCATTTACAAATATAGGTGCTCTTGTATTTGGGACATAGATGTTCAGTATTTTGATGTTCTCCTGCTGGATGTTTACTTGGATGAGAATGAAGTGCCTCTCCTCATATTTTTTGAGTAATTTTGGTTCAAAGTCTGTTTTATTAGATATTAGGATAGCTATCCCAGCTTGTTTTTGGTGTCCGTTTGCTTGAAAAACATTTTTTCCAGCCCTTTACTCTGAGGTTGTGTTTATCTTAGTTGTAAGGGTATGTTTCTTGAATGCCGCAGAATGTTGGATCCTGTTTCCACAACCATTCTGTTAGTCTATATCTTTTTATTGGAGATTTGAGTCCATTGATGTTGATAGATAATAATGACCAGGGAAGGTCAGTTACTTTTCTTGTTGAGTTGGTGGTGTTACTGTGTTTAAATCCTTGTTTTCTTTTATTTTTATTTTTTGTTGTTGTGATGTTATCTATATACTGTGTTTTCTTGGGTGTATTTGTTTTTGTTGGATTGGGGTTTTCCTTGTATTCGGGTTGGGTTGCTGTGTTGATACTATTTAGTTTAGTCATGTAGTATATTGTTTTTTCCATTTATGTTGATAGATACTTTGTTGGGTATAGTAGTCTGGGCTGACATCTTCTGTGGTCCTTTAGAGTCTGCATGACATCTTCTTTGGCCCTTCTGGCTTTCATAGTTTCTGTTGAGAAGTCTGGTGTGATTCTAATAGGTTTACCTTTGTATGTTACTTGGCCTTTTTCCCTTGCTGCTTTTAATATTTTTTCTTTGCTCTTTAGATTTAGTGTTTTGACTATTATGTGCCATGAGGAATATCTTTTCTGGTCTTGTCTATTTGGTGTTCTGTAGGCCTCT